ACGGTAGTTGGAGCATTCTTTGGCACTGCCCTTCTTTGGGATTGGGATGTAGACTGATCTTTTCCAGTCCTCTGCATTGTTGTTACAGAAGGTCAAGTCACCAGAAATTTTTTTTTCCATTTTGTGCGTTGTAGTCCAATAAAGGTGACTTCCCCAAGCTTTTTCCTTATTTACATATTAAGAAAGCAATAAGGATATAGTAAAATTAAGTATTAGTTATGTTTACACCTCACCTTTCTTCCAATGATACACTAACTCAAAGCAATTTACGCTAAAGACTTACTATTCTAAAGTATAGTCAAAGTGGGCCCATTTTAATCAATGAATTTATGGATGAGCTGGCATCAAATTCTGCACAGATTTAATTAACCTGTTCTAGTGCTATTTTAGCCAGTACATTCCCATCCGGTTCTGCAAGGTGCATCCTGTGACTATTTTATACCCCGAACATCCTTATGAGCTGAGTCGAGCTGGGAAGAGTGTAACCATCCCAAAGTCATCTGACCAGCTCAGCAGGGATTGTGGTTCCTTTTCATTTTAGGTATTAACTACATTGTAGAGTTAAGCTGGCAAAACACTCATTCTGTCTTTTCAAGGAACTCTGGAGAACCGCAGAATCATGAGAATCACTTGTCCTGCGCGCACACACCCATCTTTGGAGCAAGCTTTCATCTGTGTGCACCTATGAAACATCGCCCGGATCTCTGTGTCATTTGGCACCCAAACCACAAGGCACCCAAATAGGAGTGTTATGTTATTTTCTGCCAAGTCAGTTCTGATGTCCAGTCGTGTCCGACTCTAGAGTGCGGTGCTCAATCGCTGTTTCCAAGCCATAGAGCCAGCGTTTGTCCAAAGACAATCCATGTCCCCAGTTCTGATGTACGGAGAGCCTAATATGGTTTATAAGGTGTGTGACATATTTAAGGAGTAGTTTTGCCCTTAAATATGTCACACATATTTTGCCCGTTTCCATTCCTGAGTGGGGTTTTGAACCCAGATTTCTAGAGTCCTGGTCTGTCACAGAGTGTAGCAGAAACCTAAGCTGGAAATTTCCCCCACC